AAAAGTTCCCATGTGCAACTAGTTATATATGCTTAATAACTTGCACTTATTAAAGATAAAAAAGGACCAGAACTACAGGCTTAGCAAGGATTAGCAAGCATAAGTGCGTATTTCTGCAACTACCACACTTTTTATAGCCCTGTCACACTTCAAGATAGAGCTGTATCATTATATAGAGTTATATAACCATTAAGAGTTATAGCACTGGAAGCATTACAGCATTGTCCCAGACAGTCTTGATTATAAAAGTCTGGCTCTATCAAGTGAAAAAAAAACCCCAAAAAACAAAAAACACTTCAGGATACTGCTGTGCTATCTCATGATCCCATCTGTTAACAGCACACGGTCCTGAGTTGTAGGGTCTCTTTAACAGCTTTGCATCCTAATTCAGAATCCCATCAATATTCACCAGAACTTCCCAATCACTTTCAGCAGGTGACATACCTGATATTTCACTCAAAAGAGATTCAAGATAACCAGTGAGAATCCTAGCCAAAAAAAAAACCCAACATAATTCCAGGTTTACCTAGAGACTACATTTTTTCTTCGCTGATGATAACAAAGGAAATAAAGCCATTGCACAACTAGGTGAAACCCCATTATTAACCAAAAAATGCCGCTCTTTTTTTCTAACCTTAAAGTTTCAGTTCAATATCATCTACAGCACTCTGGTTTCATATGTTGTTAACATTTTAAGTGGCATTATTTGCCATCCTAATAGTTAGGGCCCAGAAAAATGACTTCATTTTTTTCTGACAAATAAACATAAGATTATTACCACCGTGTGCCTTTGGAGGGATTGAAAGTCTTCAGATGTTTTTAAAAGGCCATTGGGTAAAGATAGAATAAAAGCACAGCAAGCTGATAAAAGCATCCAACTGTGACCCTACAATGGTACAAACATGAAAAAGATTTTTGGGGTTTTATTCTCTGGAAGAAAATACATAATACGATCTTCTATATGCTTGTAAATGGCCTTCCAGATCTGCTGTGTAAGGCGTTCAGCCAGAACACCTGGGCATCTGGCCCTCCACCACTACAGGTAGGACTTATTGCTTAGTACTGAATCCAGATCAGACAAATGTTCATATTACCGAAGAGGAACAGGAGAAGGAAAGAAAGAGGGAACAGACAAAACATAGAACAGCTCCTTCGTGGGAAAATAAGGCATTGTCCCAGCAAACACTGAGTGCAGACATCATCTTCTGCAACACCTCCTACTCCATCACTAATTCTCACACCTGTTTTTCCACACTGCCACCATCCACAGCTCATCCAGCCACTGACTCAGGAGCTGGGACACTATGAACCACAAACCAAGTCAATGGCAGGGTGTTCTGGTGTTCTCACTACCCTCCACATCACACAGCTGCTGGTGGCTTCTTCACCCAGGAGGGAACACATGGTGGCTTACGTTTCCTTCCATTATCATCTTCACTGCTTCAATTTGAAATGTGGGGGTTTGGGGTTTTTTTTACACTTTTGCATGATTAGACACTTTTAAAGTAATTTTCCATTTACAAGGACACAAGAGTACTTTTTGGTCACTGTTACATTGCTCTACTTTGTAGGTCTCCTGCACATCACTCAGTGATGATACCAGCATGAGTAACAAAAAAACAAGTCAGCCAAATCTTTAGTGTCAAACTGTCTGCACCCTCTCAGAAAATAAGGTTTTTGACCTTTGTCACTATATTTTATTAGAGGAAGGTAGCTTTTAAATATCCTTTTTCTCCAGTCTTGCTTGCAGTCCAGTAAGTTTCAACAGCTTTCTGGACTGCAACAAATTCACCGTCTCCTGGGTGACCTGGGAAAATTTTTCATTACTTTCACTCCCTCCTGCAAGCAAAGCCCCCTCCTCCTCCTTTCTGACAGCACTAACACAGACTGAACGGGAGCACACAGGTAAGCAGAGGGATGCACCATCTGTCACAGTGCCCCAGACCTCTCTAACTCCCCTTGCTCACATGGGGCAAATCCACGTGATGTCAACTGTATTTTTTGTACTGAGGCTGTAAACAAGCATGTTTTTGAGCCTTTATTGGAGAAAAGAAACCATCTCTCCCTTGCAATGTGCTTTGTAGTAAGATAACTATTTTATTTTACTTGTATGCCCTGTTTTGACAAATAAGACAAGCACCTCAATGCTTCTGAGCAGTTCTGCATCCTCAGGACTGGGGCACCATTACCAGTCCCCCAAAACCACAGTTGCCCGTGCAAGGTCTGCACAAGATGCCAACCATGTCACAGCCACCACAATCAGATCTGGCAAACCCAACCATTTATTTCCAGGAGCCAGGACATACAAACACCCCGCGGTGTAGATACACTCATTGTTATGATTTAAATACTAAATCCTTGTACCTTGTAGGAGCGTGATATACTGAAGCTTTACAACAAAGCAACATACCTTCGAACAGTGCAGAATATATTGGTATGGAGAGATTATTGCATAATGGCATCAATATTTTATTTCTGTTGAATTTTTTATCTCAAATTTACAGCTCCCATAACTAATAGACAGTAACTCATCTGCACCATAGTTACTCATGTATTATGTATTGCATGGTCCTGGCAGAATTTCTGAAGCAAAATCCTTCTCTTAAAATGAAAAAAAAATAGCCCTTTCAATGATTAATCCCAGCACTCAACAGCAGTATTTTACTGAAATGCTTTTTACAAAAGTTTAAAAATTCTCCACTAAATTGTAATATATATGTTTACCAATCTCATAATTCAAAAAGGAAGTGGCCTGACAGCTTCTAAGCACATTGTAATGTTATCTGCAAGGACAATGAATTATGTATCTCTCATAGCACCACAACTGACAAAACAACACTGTGATTCTGGTGCTGGAAGATCCCACAATTCAACCCAATTGAGAGACAGAGGGTAATGCAACAGTGCTGTTTTCCCACCCTTGTAGTAAAATGGTGCAAATATTTGAATATGATTTTTTTTCTCTGAAGAATATAAAAGACAAGCTCTAATTTATGCAAAAGCAGAAGAAAAATCAGATCAATGGTTCAGAATTATGGAGCTCGTTGGATATATGGATCAATGTTAATCAATGCTCTAATCAAAGCACCCTGAGCAAATTTCTCAGACTCCAATCATACACCTTAAAGGCACTTGAGAGATGTGGCTGTACTGCCTTCTGTGGTGTTTGGGTTTTTTTAAAGTATGACTTCGACAGAAGTGCTCTTTAAACACACAGTCAAATCTCTGGCTGCTGACCACAATATTTTGCAATGCTCATAGTTAATACCTGACATTTTAACTAATGGTACCTTTCACAGGAGAACAGCAGTACACAAGTTATACACTTCACAGCTATTGCTCTTTCCCACAGGAATGTATATTGTTTCTATAACGGATGCCAGGTGGATTCTCCTCCTCCTCAGCCACAAGAAGGGGAGGGGAAGAGCTCAGCCCCCCTGGGGCTGAGAATCCAAAGAAGGCAAAATTAATCATTTCTGCATTTGGGAGCCACCTTCAATACATTTTCCCTGTCCTGCTGCAGCCACACACTCCTCAGAGCAACTGTGTACTACAAAAATTGGGGCAGAGACGGTGAAAAGTAGGGGCTTGGGGGCTGGTTCCATGTGAGATACATCTTGGTCCTCCCAGAAAGCATCAAATAGGAAATCCTACATGAGGACCCTTGCAAAGACTGGCTTTTCCCCTGAAGATCTCCCATGACATATTATATCCACTGCAGCAAGGAGCCAGTCACATGCCTTAAGATCTCTGCAATTAAAGTCCTTTCAGTTAACTGGCATTTATCCTAAAAATTTCAGATTATTTCCAGGAAAAAGAATTCCACATTATGGAGCTGAAAGTGAAATAAAGGAACATTCGCAGATTGCTAACTAAATTATGGATGCAGTAAAGCTTACAGGAATACCTTCTCAGCCATCATATCTCACAACTTTACTGATAATACTCTCTAGACAAATATTCTCATATTTGGTGTTAGATCAAAGAGAAGGTTTTTTTGTTTTATTTTAAGTCTATCTTTATAAATCTACTTTTCAGATATCCAAAGACATAGAATAAGTGTTATCTAGATCATAAGAAATTAGCTTAAACCCTGTTTGCATTCAAATGGCACCAATTTTTTTCTAAAGAAGATAGCTTAAAGCACACATGGCTATTGGTGAGAAATCAAGCCTTCTCCAAGTCTGAAGAGAAAATTATAACAAGGAATTAATCAACAGAAGGCAAATTCCATGAAAAGATGGGATGTGGATGCTGTAGTATAAATGCCCTTCTTTATGTATGTGCATTATTTTACCCAAAGCAATACACACATGAACCTGACACAAGACACAGGTCTGATTACCAAAGCAGAGGATGCTGCTAGATTCTCTCCACCTTTCCCCACCAATTCTCTCTTGTGCAAGGCTGCGGGTCTGGTCATGGGTTGTTAGGTGATGAGAGCATAGCACATCTCAATAAATACCACCACCAGCAGCTGTTAAATAACAAGTACAATGTCCACTGCCATGCAGTCATCATTGTTGGTGAGTTCTAAAGGACCCAAATGGGCTGTTTCTTCTTTATTTCAACTCCAGGAGTGAGAAAAGGAGGAAATATCAATGTCTCAGCACAAAGGAGCTGAAATTATTTTTTGCTAAAAAGAAGATACCAGTCCCTTAGGAGAAAGGTCTCCCAAAACAACACAGCATTAAAATGACTCAAAAACTATGTGATTTTTAGCAAATGCCAGGAAAAGTATTGAAAAAATAGTGAAATTACAAAGAGCAAGGAAGGCTTATTACTCTGGCAAAATGTTGTTAGGGAATTTCCACTCATGTGGATTTATATTTTATTTTTAAGCAGTAATTTAGGAGAGTGGTATCAGAAGTCTGACAAGTCACAAAACATTTCTTGAATTCAAGACACAGATCATAGCCGTGACATGTCTCTGTCACAGGATTGAGCTCAAACATGTACTTTATCATTTATGAAAGAAAAATACTGTATTTCATATTTACCTTTTGTTGAATCATCTTCAATTGGTTGTTTGAATAAAGTGATATCCTTAAAAGTACACAAGAACAAAACCACTTTTTCATGCTCATTTCTTATGGGTGCAATTTGCATGTAGAACCAAACTGGGGTTCCTGAAGGAAAGAAAAAGGTGACAGCAGATTGTGATGAAAGCACAAACTTTCCCAAGCCCATACACAGAATATTTCATCATTTATATGTTATTAAAATACACACGTAGTTTAGGATCATATCTAGATATTTATATATCTTCCAGATCTTTTTGGTTTACCTCCCTGAAGGAAAACAACATATTCCTATTTTTACAGAAATGTTACTAATTTGATTATCCAATAAACAGACACAGGAGACTTTATAAATCTCCATTCCAAAATAAAATATATGGTTCTTCCTCTCTTGGTCTTGGTTTTGTTGTTTTGTTTTTTTTTTCCCCAGCACATCTCAGAAATTTAGTGTCTGCAGGGGAGGCAGGTAAGAAAAAAATGGATGGATGGTATCTTTGATTCATTCCTCACATAATATGGAGCTATCAAATCTAAAACTACTGGAGTATACTGTCAAATGCTCCAAATTTGATGCTACTCCATTATTTAAGATTACTTGAGCTAATCCAGACATAGACTGTAAATGTCCTATCAGGACAAATCAGAAGAGTCAATTCCCTTTCTGTGTTTCAGGTCATACCCTCCACCTCCTCACTGTCCAGCCCACTGGAGCACTCTCCCAGTGCAGTTATCTCTATTTAGCTTTTGAAATATAGATACAAAATAATTTCAAATCCTACCACTCATCAAATAAACAGCCAAAAAACGCCTATTGTTTTTGAGTGGTTAGCATGGCTTTTGGTTAAGTCCTCACAGAGGACACCTACAGGTGCTCAGGAGCTGAAACTGGTCTGGTTCCCTCCTAGGCTGAAGGGCACATGGCAGTCCCCTGTGTACATGCAGGTCTGCTCTGTAAGGGGTGAAATCCTAAAAGACTATGTAATTTGCTTAGAAATACCCTGTTCACCTGCAGGGATGTGAATGTCAGAGATGCTTCCCATCCAGCAAAGCTCTAGGCCCACGGCCATGTCCTCTCCCTCCCAAACTTGCACCTAACATGCACTGCGCTATAAATGCCTTCACAGCCAGCTAATTACCTTTAGGATTTGATGTGCTTTCAGCCAGTTGACATAATGGCTTTTCTCCTGAGCTGCCTGAATGCCAGACTGACACATTGAGACAAGCCACTTGCCCACTGTTATCCCATGGGCACCACTGCCCCCCCCTCCAAATCTCCTCTAATGCACCATGTCTGGGAGCTGTGACAGGAACTGCAGGATAGATGCCCAAAGAGCAACGAAACCCATTTGGACTAGGACTACTGTGGGGAAGGTTAAAATCCACAAGCGTTTATGACAAAATGCAGCATGGCTAAACTGGGATTAAATCAGTAACTCACTAGCAGTAAACTGGAGAGGTGGGAGAGATGGGGAACTAATTTTTGTGATAATTCTGAAGCCATTATGCTGATTACTTGATTATCTCAATTCCCAGTTGCTAACCCAAGATAAAAGACTCTTTTCATAACATCTAAAACAGAGTGCTGAAGCTCTCTGGAGTAATACTGTACTTGCACTTATACCTGGCAACTCATCAGCACCCTTTGAAAAGGTCTGAAAGGAAGCAGGCAATATAACCTGTACAACAGCACTGACAAAAATCAAAGACAGAGGCAAGGAAGGTGGCTACTGCTGTAGTAGCAGAAATCTGGGCAAAGGCAGGCAAAGAGGTTTCCTGAGTGCTACCACACACATATATACTCACACACATATATATACTACCACACATATATATACTCACACACACACACACACATATATATATATAGAGATGCACGCCTAACGTGGTTGGTGAATAGTTGGGTGGGTAGCACTGAGGACTATATATGAAGGAACGCAGTAAAGCAGAAGCAGAAGAAAATTGTAGCAAATGTTCAGGTCTGAACCTGACACTTGCTAGCTGGGTTAAAATGGCAAGAGAGTGTGTGAAGCCAGCAGTTGTATGGATGCTGCTGGAGAACATCAGTTCTTAAAGATCATTTCTGTGCCGAAGGAAAGAAGGATGGGAAAGCAATCTGAGAATCTCAAAAATCTCCCTCTGACAAAAACATAAAGGAATGGGTGAGAAAGAAAAGATTGTGGAACATAATCAAAACCACACAGCACCTCTGGACCTCCAGTTTGAAAATGTGGGCAGGAGGATGCTCTGCAACCTCCATGCAGGAGACAGGCAATAGGTAGAGTCTCAGCAGGTGACAAACACAAGTCCTTCCACAAAGTAACTGTCTACATTTTGCAGAAATATATTCATCTACATGAGTATGCAGAAGTATATTCATTCATATCATCAGATACTATTGTTTTTTTCTCTATCTGCTCCAATATTCAGCCTGGAGGATAAGAAGAATAAGTAGGCAGTTTCTTGAAGAACCTTCTTCTGCAAGGCTCAGAGTATGACAAATGGAAGCAAACCCTGGGCAAACTAGATGTTGAACTGGAGTCAAAAGGTGAGCCTATTAGGGTTAGCAAATTGTTGAAGTTCTGGGCTTCGGGTGATGGAGAAGGAAGCTGGCAACAGATGTTAGGGATGGGAACTGTCTCAAGCTTGAAAAGAAATATGAGGACTTTTCCATAAAGTCCTTCTGTAACCCTGCATAACTTATGGAAAATATAGGCTTGGAGATCTGGGCAAAGGTGAAGATCTCATTAAGGCAACCGCACCTTAATAAATCTCTGAAGCATCATCAAGCTTCAGCAAGCAATTCACAACCCAAAGCAAAAAGCAACTGGCTTATTACAGAAAAGTCACCAAGAGAAGGCTTTCCTCTTTATACTTAAATGAAATAGAAAGGAATTGAGTTCAGGAATGGCTTGTGCTAGAACAGGAGGTGCCAGCCCAGTTAATAAGAGAAGCCAGGTCAGGGAGAGCACTGAGTCTCTGGGATCCTCTTCAGAAATCACATGGACACAGGGCATGACAGTGCTCAGCACCACCACCTGCAAAGATACCCAACACAAGTCTGTTCTGGGAAATTCCCCTAATGTGAGGGGACATCCAAGTGACTTGCACAGGAAATGGGCAGAGAAGCAGAAAATTTAGAGAATAGACATATCCATATGCTGAGGAACTAAAAAGAGGTCATTTGGAGGGCCCTCCTGAGCACCTGCGCAAACAGTTGGACTTCAGAGCCACTTTTGCTTCTCTTTTTAATTAAACTGTTGGCTAACATGCGTTGAAGCAGGCAGAACTGGAGAAATCTAAACGCATTTCCTACTGTTTAAGCGCACGTACAGGAAGATTTTGTCTAAAGAGGGAAAGTGGAAATAAAGCATAAAGCATGTGAGTTTTTTTCAAGGAGATGAGGTATCTGGGATGCTCTCTTCCACATCATTAAACTTTTATATGAGTTTGCAGTGAAATGGGGCAGTCAGGCTCAGTTAGCTCTTTTCCAAGGTACACTGTTATCTTTCTTTAACCACAACATGCATTGGAAACCTCCAGCCTCACCCTAGCAATGTGCTCCATGCCAGCACTGTTGTCCCTGATGTCCTCCCAAGTGGGAACGTGGCCTCAGCTACTGGGATGCAGGCAGCTGAACCAGAGGGAAAGCTCTCTGACTCCCCAGGAGCTGCATCCTGTACTGGGCAAAGAAAGACAAACCAAAGAAAATATCTCCATCAAGATAGCTCTTGGTTTGTGTTTGACATGGCCACTGACCCAGTCAACTAGACTTGGTCTGCTCAGTGTAGAGAAACCAGATTTTCTGGAGCACATTTCATGAGAGAGTTTTGGCTTTCTACCTTGGGAAGATGGCCTGTGCTAGTGGAGGAGGCTGCTCATCTTCACCAACAACAGCAGAAATTTAAACCACCAGCCCAGGAGAGATGTCCACACTGCACAAGCCCAGAGTGAGACCACACAACAGCGTGGGTTTTGCTTAGCATGTGCTACAACATTGATAAGACAGAAGTACTACCCACATACATGGCAGGACAGAAAATATGACTGGAGTGACTCAGGGTTAAGACAAACTGAAGAAAATTTTCCCTGGTTCAGGCAAGCTCCTGTAAACCCAATGCTAGTGAGAGGAAGGGACCTAGGGCCTGCATTTCATTAAGTTAAAAAATTCCCTAGTTTTCTAATTATTCCCTGGGTTATACACCAAATTTAGTACTCTCACTAGAGCTCACACGTGTTGGTTTACACACTGCAGAGGCACTGCTGGGACCATCCACCTACGGCAACCAGCGTCTGAGTTCGCACTTGTAGAGACATGGAGGTGTTCCCCAAGGGGTGTGGGGGAAACTCATTCAGGATTTCTTTTCACTTAACCCAGTTAGTTTCCCTTTAGGGAAACCATCCTCAAAACTAAATATATTTTGGAAAGGAGGAGTCAGGCTAGAGACAGCAGGGAAAAACTATTCTTGGCAGTCTAACACTCATCCTGAAAAAAAGAGCTCTTTTCTTGAGCTGTGGCGACTAAAACACCCATTTCTTCTCCAGATCTTGCCCCAAACTTATCCATATGCCATAATGAAAATTTATTTTAGTCTACTATGTACTTTAAATATGCCTTATCACTCCCAACACCATACACAAATATATACATACTGTTTTTCTTGTAGAGGAGAATTTCAAAGCAGTTTGACTCATAGTTGTCGAAAGTCTGTCTGACTTTTTCAATGGTCTTCTTGTCTGTCAGTTCACCATACATAAAACTGAAAAAGAAAAAATGTTTCTCTTCTTTCTAGACAAGCAACAACTTTGTTACAGTCACCTTAAACAGCATAAGCATTGGGAATGCTATTAACTGTCATTTACCAATGGGGAATTATGATTTATACATTATTATTATTAGTAGTAGTAGTAGTAGTATTTAAATATTTTAAAACTGTCACAAGGAAATCTACAATAGTGAGTAACCATGACCACATTTTACCTGTAAATGACAGCAAATAAATCTACTGTAACGTTTCATTAGAGTGCTTCTCTGAGTATGTCTTTAAGGATACATGGTTAGAAAGAGAGCTGATAGCCTATAAAACCATTATTGCCACAGCTGCAGGCCATGAGAATATTGCTGTCAAAACAGAGAAAACTGAACAAAACCTCTAAAATCTCCCAAATTTTGTTTAATCCTCTGGAGAAGGCTTCTGGAAGAGGAGGTAAAGGTTGTTGGTTGAATCAATGGCTACAAATCTAATCTTGTCAGGATGCATCTGTGACAATAAGATAATTGGAATATTTCTACTAAATACCGATTACAAAAGGAGGGATGATTTAACCAATAAGAAGTGATGACTGTAATGCTCTGAAAATTCAGCACAGAAAGCAAGTGGATGAGTTGTCTCAGTGTAGCTACGTCTGCACTACTACCAAACATAACCAAATTCACCCTCATTTTCCTTATTGTATGCTGTATTTCTTTAATATTAAAGTGAAAACACGGAAAAACATTAAAATGTTTTTGGAAAATCATCCCTCTCCAGACCAAGAATATAGAAACATAATTTTAACTCTGTTATTTCTTGCCACTTGACCATCTCATCTTTGCATTCTTTTCCAGGTCAGACTTTCAGCTGGTGTAAGCAAACCCAAACCCCTAACCTTACTTTTGAAAGTCTCTGTAAGGAAACAGCCAGGCTTTTATTGTCGTTCTCACTTGGATTAAAAATAAGCAGAGACCACTGTGTGCAAATTCCCAATTACAGAACGAAGGAAAACAGAACATGGGATAAAAGCTTTCAGTCACTTGGATGAAAATACTTTTAATTGATGAGACTTTTTTTTTTTTTTCCATTTCCTTTGTTCACAAACAGTTTGAGCTTCAGCTGAAACCTACAACAGACAACCCTGAGAATATGAAAGGGAAAAGAAAAGCTATCATTGCCTCTGTGGTTTCAACACAGCTTCTCTTTATTGATCAACAGACCTCCAAAGGTTCAATCAACATTTATTTTATGTCTATTGTTCTGAAAGAAACAATAAAACAGTACAGCAGTTAGTCACTCAGCAAGCATTAAAACACTCAATGAAGGCCAGACCATGAATCTTCTCTTTACACAGCCAACCAAGGGAGGTAATGGGGCTGCTCCCAGAATAAGGTGCTGCCCAGCACGGGTGATGGAAGCAGATGTGGGGCACCAGAGTGACTACAACAGCTGTATGTCACTATGGGAGCTTCTTCACCAGTAACACAGGGAGAGCTATTGATAAATGACATGTCATAACTGTTACCTTTGGGACAGCACTGTAGTGGAGACGCCGCTACGGCGACTGATGTTAGGAAATGGTTTTCCCAAGGCTTCATTAAGGTACCGCTTATCATAACATGCACGTCTGTCTTTAGGAAATGCTAAACAGCCTACTGCTCATTTTCAAATGACCTGCCTTTCTTTCCTGAGTTCAGCTGATAACCTTTTATACGTGAGATGACAACAAAAAGAGTTTGATTTTATTTTTTTTTTTTTTTAATCTCTGCCTTTTTTAATGCACTGATGAGGTAAAGCAGACTGCTCTCCTGTCTGCAAGACAAAACAAGAGCTGGTAGTTTTCACACAGCCTGGTGTGCAATTCTCTTTTTATTTTTGTTTTCTTGAGATTTAAAACAATGTTTCTCTTAGTCCTGAAGGAAAAAAATAACAAGAATTTGTTAAAGTGCTTGACTTTACATGGCTTACAATACAGAAAGTCATCATTAATTAGTGTTAAAACGACAAATCGTACTTGGCATTCTGAGTGGTGGACGATACCAGTTAGTGCTGCTGAATATGTTTTAAATTAAAGGCAGCTTATTATTGCAGTAAACCTGTAATACTCACATCTTACATTATTTTCACCTACAAAGATATATTTTAAAGGCTTGTGGAATAATAAAAACATTTTTCAGAAGGTTTAACAGCACCAAAGAAACCTCAAAGCCACTCACTGTATCAGTTATATAAGACCTTTGCTTATCACAGGTTTAATTTAATTTAGTCTGTCCTATTTTGTACACATGGAGGGACTCCTACTTCTTCAGTCAATCACTCTGTCTTTTTCTGCCTCATGGTTTTTTTTTTTTACTTAGTGCTTGTCGAGTGCCTTCAGTGCAAACTGTACACGACATAAATATCAAAACCATCCTGCTACTGGGAATCTTACTACCTAGAAAATAGACTTATCAAAGAGAAACAAGACTTACTGAAATACTCAGAGAAAAGCACAATCTTAGATAATTTCCCCATCTCTGAAAGAGACCATTTGTCATTTAAGATGCCTGGGCTCCCGCCTCCCTTTGAAAGCATCCCTTGACACAGAAAAGCCCTGTCTGAAGCTTTGTAAAGCATTCTTCTGTTCTTTGTCAGGATCCAGAGCAGTGGCATCAGAACAGCTCCAGCTCTGCAGTGTGTGCACAGGGCAGTATTTAACAGCTACTTCTGAGGAATTATCCAAGACAGAGGACAGGTGAAGCACAGAAGGTATATGATCCTGCATCCAATTTACAGCTCTCATCCAAAAGTGTTGCATGAAAAGGCATCAATTACCATGAACAAACATCTACCCAGGAAGAACAGCAACAATAGCTTCGAAACTTTGCAAGTGTCCTGGTTTTGGCTGGGATAGAGTTAATTTTCTTCCTAGTAGCTGCTATAATAGTGTGTTTTGGATTTAGGAGGAGAAGAATGTTGATAACACACTGATGTTTTAGTTGTTGTCAAGCAGGGCTTACACTAAGTCAGGGAGTTCTCAGCTTCTCACACCAGCCCACCAGCGAGTAGGTTGGGGGTACACAAGAAGTTAGGAGGGGACACAGCTGGGACAGCTGACCCCAACTGACCAAAGGGATATCCCACACCATATGATGTCATGCTCAGCACATAAAGCTGGGGGAAGAAGAAGGAAGTGGAGGGACATTTGGAGTGATGGCATTTGTCTTCCCAAGTGCCTGTTACATGTGATGGAGCCCTGCTTTCCTAGAGACGGCTGACCACCTGCCTGCTCATGGGAAGCTGTGAATTAATTCCCTGTTTTACTTTGCCTGCATGCATGGCTTTTGCTTTATCTATTAAACTGTCTTTACCTCAATCCACAAGTTTTCTCATTGTTACTCTCCCGATTCTCTCCCCCATCCAAACCGGAGGGAGTGAGCAAGTGGCTGTGTGGTGCTTAGTTGCTGGCTGAAGGTTAAACCATGAAAGCAAGTTAAAGAACAGGCATCATTTCTAAGGAGAAATAGTGCAGCTCGCTGGGTCCCACGGGTGTGCTCAGCAAGATTTCTTTGCACAGCTTTAGCAGCGCAAGGAGGCACAAAAATCAGGTCACAGAGGTGACATCCCAGTATCAAATCTAACTTTTTTCAAGTCCAGCACACTGCACACACGATGCCAAATCCCATTTCTTTGAACAAGGTGGGAATTTTGCCATTAACTGGAACTAGAATTTCACTTACAGACTTTTTTTAATCCCCCTTGTAATGGCAGGAAATTAAAACAAGCAACAGCAGAGAGCACTGCAAGTGTTTCAGGGGAAAAGCTCCCTGTAAACAACTGCTTCAGCAAGGAGATCCAGTTCCATCCCCCTGTACAGCTGGAAGGCAATGCACAAACAGGACCTAGGAGCAGGTTTCCTCTTTAAAAACAAAACCAGCTACTCCGAGCCCAGCATGAAGCTCTCAGGTGCAAGGAAGGGTAAGCAAAGCAAAGCCTGGAGTAAATGCCAAGTGTAAAATGCCAGGATGGGTCTACTAACCAGTTATGCAAAGGGTGCCTGCTGCTCTTCTGAAGGCTTGATGGGAATATGGACCTTAACTGATAAGCAAAAATACTAGAAAACACTGATAATACTTGCAACATTAAACTGGGTTTTAATGATTTATAACCGTTTATTCTTTCAATGTGTTCATGAAGATATACATTGTCATGACTGTGGGCAACTGGGCATGAAACAAGTGGTTTTCCTGCACACTGGCTGATCTGTTGGTGCACCTCCAGGCAGGGGTTTTTGAATGGTTAATTGAAGGTTAGACATGTTGCAATTGCAGAAAACAGAGCTGGAACAAAAATGACTCGCACCTCCAGTGCCTTCAGGTTATCCACCCCTCCCTGTAATCAGTATCATAGAATCAGAGAATCATTAAGGTTGGAAAAGACCTCTAAGATCATCAGGTCCAACCGCCAACCCAATACCACCATGTCCACTAAACCATACCCCCGAGTGCTGCATCTACATATCTTTTAAATGCAGGGACAGTGACTCAACCCCTGGGCAGCCTGTTCCAATGCTTGATAACCCTTTCAGTAAATAAATTTTTACTAATATACAATCTACATCTCCCTCAGTGCAACTTGAGGCCATTTCCTCTTGTTCTGTCACTTGTCACTTGGTTGAACCCCCACCAACCCCCACCTCACTACACCCTCCTTTCAGGTAGTTGTAGAAAGTGAGAAGGTCTCCCCTCAGTCTCCTTTTCTCCAGACTAAACAACCCCAGTTTCCTCAGCCTCTCCTCATAAGATTTGTTCTCCAGACCCTTCATCAGCATTGTTGCCCTTCAAAGGCATCAGGGTTATCAGTCAAAACCATCTGAAACTGAGGCTGAATATAATTATGAGATATGAGCAGACCCAGTGCAGGGTATGGGGTGTCACAGACAGAAAGAGGATATAGTGAATACTTGCTGGACTAGCCAGGAGAAAAGCATGGGTGAAAGCTGATTTGAAGGCACTGTACCTTATAGGCAGGGACAAACTGACCAAATATTGCAAAATTTATAAATTGTCCTTTATCATACTCAAGATTAGTAACAACAATAACTCGAATCGGGGGCTAGATTTACAACACTTGTCCCTGTGTATTTTCAGTTGGTTGGACTTTTGGCACTAAAAACCAGTAAAAACAGACCCTTCCAAAACCTGCAATAAAGGTGTGGCACCATAGCACTCTTATCCCATTGCACTTGCCTTAGAACAATAAAGCAAACATTATATATAAAGCAATTTTTATGTATAATGTAACATAATCTGGGCATAACAAAGCACATCTGGACTGAGAGCCTGAATCAGAAAATACTATAAATAATAGCCCAGATACCAAAAAACCTCCAAGGACATTCTACTGAGTAAGCCTGAGCAGGCACCATTGGCCTTCAAGATTATTTTCCATTGTGTACAGCTGCCCAGCTGCTCAGTAGAGAGCAGCTCCAAAGACGTTGCTCTAGAAGGCTACACGTTGCACGTCAGACCATGCTGAAAACTGCTCCAGCTCTCCTCTAATCTGCAAGACTGGGATGTCTCCTAAGAAGCAGGAAACATCACACTGCACGTATAACTCCACTAGCTAAGACCCAGACAGAAAAGGAGCACTAGCCATGCTGTGAGTGTAGAGAGGCCTCTCCAAAATCCAGACCGTTTTATAGTATGATAATTAAAGAAAAAATATACCTTTGCTACCAATTCAACTTTCCACAATAATTCCTCCTTGAGTTTGCATCTATATGATTCGCCTGCATGATCTACTTGAACATGGTCAAAACAGGATCCTTACAAATGGTAACTAGAGCCCATCACATTCACAAAAAGCACTCAGATGGAATAAACCTTCTGATCCCCTCAGTATTTGAGGCACAGGGGAACCATTATCAGAAAGGTATTGCTAAACCTTCACGTCCTTAACATTTTTCCTACAATCTCATTCTGTATTTGTAATTATTTTAATGTGCACAGACTATAAAAGTGCTGGCTCACAGCAAACTTACACAGTTCAACACACAGGATAGAAGAGAGCAAAGGGGAAAGCACGTATGTATGTCCGGAAGGGCTGTGATAAGGCTGTTTCTCTCAGCCCCACTGAATATATCGACTTTGTTGGTCCTGTGTGAATGAATAATTCATTTCAGCAGCACATGCCCATCTCTTCTCCATTGCCCATTAGAGGACAACTGGCTGCACAGAGCAACCCTGGACCCCCAAAGGCTTCCTCCCCTTCCCAGCAGCTGAATGCATCAGCACATGATGCTTTTTGGAGTCTGCAATGACTGACACCCGAGGACAGGCTCGCTGCATGCCCTGCTCCTGCCAGCTGAAGCATCAGCTGTTGATCAGTGTCTGGCAGCACCCACCTCCCAAAAATCATCACTGTAGGTACACAGCTCCCTCCTCCCAGCACCCTGGCGTTGGTCACTCCCTGAATGCATAAAGGGAAAACCTACAAAGACTTGTATCTCAGCCATTCCTTACGGCCTCTGCCCTTCCTTTTCTTTCCTCAGGCACACACGCACGTGCACACACATTAGGGATTTAGTCTTTCCCCAAAGCATCTCCTTTTAAAGGATGCAGCAGACAAGGCGCAGATGCATGTCTAACCATAAATTACAGCTGCCCATTCCTGAAAGACCACCAACAAAAGGAAAAAGCCATAAAGCTGCAATGCTTAGAGTAAATATATCATCAGCTTAATCACTCCCTCAGGAATAAAGATGTAGCTTGCACATTACTGTGCTCTGTGAGTGTAATAACAGGGACCAACATGGGCTACAGAATAGCCCACTGTCTCCTGACATCATAATAGGAGAATTAACGAAAATCTATCAAAAAAAGCCTTTGAAATATATTACCTAAAACCCCACATTCTTTATTGGATTTTTAGCTAGAGCACATTCATATTGATGTCATAAATTTCAAAGCGCTTTACCATGTCCTGGCTAAATTGCTGGTTCCATTCATTTAAAGCCTGTTTCAGTACTTTAATTTCTGCAAAACAATGCTTTTCTTACACCAGTTCTTTTTCCAAAACCTCATTGCTCTTCCCAGCATATTATAATTTTTAAAGTGCATCAAGTGGCAACGAACAGCCAGCCAGCATACCTGCAAGTGCTGCTCTTCTGCATGACGTCAGCTCGATGATATCCAGAGAGTTTACAAAAACCGTCATTACTATAAACTACAGGCCAGTCCACAATCTGGGCATTTCCCAACAAAAAACTGGATTCTGAAAAGAGGAAGAGAGAAAGGGCTGGTGTTAGTGGCAAAGTACATTTAAATCCCTTGTGTGTTACACCGCAGATGCAGAGTTATTCACGGTGGTAACTCCTATCATGAAATTTCAGAGGGAAATAAAATCAAAATGGGCATCAGAAAAGAAATTGTGATGAAACAGGATAACTCCTAGTAACATAAGTAGCTTCTTGCATCCCAAAATACTGATATAAGCACCAATGCTTTAATAATTTGGAAAGGATTCATTTATTCACATCTGGGCAAGGTATCACGTTAGATTTTCATTTTATATGTATCTTGAAATCAACCTTAAATTAACTTGCAAACTGAGTTGTAAATGCTGAACTGTATGTGTGCCTAATGCTGATGACAACTCTTTTGCTTAAGACAAGTAAATTTTTCCTCCTGTCAGGTCCCAGTCTGTTTTGCAGGATACAGCCTGCATCCCTGGGATGAGGGACAGAGAGTGCTGGGAGCTGCTGGGGAGGGGTGAGATGTGCCCACACCGCATCTCGTGGTACACCACGAGCCACATCACGCCTGGGAGCACTGATATTAAGTGACCCACGTGGAAATTCAGCATGATTGGGGAACTAATGAGCACCAAAGGGACCTTACACATTGAAATAACACAAAACAAGTACTGAATGTCAGTGCCAGTCTATTAAAAATGCAAATAGGTGGGTTTGGCTCATCCCAGTAACATGCATCCATTGCTGTACGTACAAAATACGGGCAGGGAGTATTTCTAGGAGGCTGAACTCAGGTTTAAATATCACCTCAGTCATCTATTCTTTCAGTCAGTGCCTACAGATTATACGCACAGACTGGCACCAACACAGTATGAGTTAGTCCTAAAATAGTTTTATTTACTAGTTTGGAATGATTCTTCCATCTTCGCTTTTAGCAAGGCATTTTCAAAGAAGGAAATACCCACTTTGCTTAAACACAATGTTGTGGCATTTTATGTTCATCGACACCAAATATTCCCAATTTTGTTTCAGAAATAGTGCTCTCACTTAGTAGAGATTCTCAAATTGTAGTTTCTGATGATCTTTGGAGTTTTCTTTGTTTTTACTGTTTTCAATTTCATTTTGACTGCAGCTATGGAATTAACTGGTCCCATTCGCTGATGTTAAAAAGCTATTCACATATAACTATTAACAATCACTGCTGTATAGAAATTATAGGAAATATTCCTTTCTGCAGTTCTTGTGGAGAAAAAAAATTAAGGAGATTTTTACAAATTTTCTTTCTAAGAGTAAAGAATGGTTATGTCAATTACAGACATATACTCAGGTGCACACATTCATTTTCACATAAAAGTGACACGGGGTTTGCATGAGCTATATGCACTCTTCTTATGCAAACATTCTGTTGAACAAGGAAAGTGCACTGAAAAAAAAGGTATTTCTTTTTTTTTTTCTTTATAAACATGAATTTCTACCAAAAAAAAAAAAGTAATCTGGAGATTATTGGATTTCCTGTAGAAAAGCAGATTAAAAAATATTTAAAAGCCAACCAATGTAAGAAACAGAAGTTTAGATTTTTTTTTTGAAGTCTAACACTTTTAAGCTCAAAGAATTTATTTGAATCCATCACAAATATTTTAAGCCTAAATGCCAACTTTCAAAATTTGCTTTCCTACCCGAAGGGAGATGCCCTGGCTACAAGAAGCAGGAGACATGGAGTAAAGCCTGAGCATTACATAAAATCTCCCTGGTTTTCCGCAGCCCTAACAGCAAAGATGAGTCTGTTCCTTCCAAGTACAACTGGCTGCATGTTCCTCCTGGCTTCCTTTCCCAGCAGCTCCAAAGCAAGGACCCTCAGCCAAGGGCACCTTGATGTCCCCCGTGCCCTGCTGCAGTGACTCTGGTCAAGTTCCGTAGCAGCCTCTTAGCACAAGTCAAGCCTTCATTCAAGGTACAGTGAAAGACAAGTGTGCTACAGACCTGCTTGTGGGCTGCCAACTGATTTGCTCTTTCCTGAGAGACATCCATGCTCATAGTAGGCAGCAGGGAGGAAACCCACCCAGACCACAGCTATTCACCCGACAGCAGCCCAGGGACCTGCCCCACCAGCACTGCTGCAGGCAAACACTGGGTGCACGTCCATCATCAAATCCCAAGTTCACTACTTGTCTTCCCCTTCCCATGATGTCCTACTCTCCACACTGGTTACTTCATACCAAAGTAATTTGTTACTTCAGCCCCTAACCACTTAAACTGCTGTCAACTGACTCTCTGTATAACTACATGGGATCAGCGTATTGCTGCAGTCTTGTTTAGATCACCTTGGAAAACTCATGGGGCTCCTTTCTGTGTTGGGGAGAGGGGTCCTAAAAAATGTGCTCATTTCTTATTTTCTTTTAGCTCTCCTGAGCAAGTCTTGGTGCTGATAATACCTCTTTCTGCTGGTGTTGTTTACAGTGACTCCAATCACATGTTCAAGACATACTGCATCCCCACAGAATACAACAGAAATACAAGTCACTTTTTTTGGAGTGAGTCAAAGGACTTTAACACCATCAGTCTTTTCTAAAATATGGGCATGAGCCCTGCAATCCCACACTCCAAGGGCTGCCTCCCCCAGGGCAGATGCCTTCTACCAGACAGACCCAGGCTCAGACTCCATGGGAGAGGCAAGCTCTCATTGCTTGCTCTAGTCTTCAACACATAAGACCGGTGTTTTGTGCCTTCATCAGAAGAAAACAAAAAGGAGACAACTAAAGGTCTGCAAATTGCAGAGTGATGAGCATAGCAAGGACACCAGTGCTGGGATCTCCACAGCTGTCTTCCTGTTGGATTCAATACACAAGAACTGTATTCTGCAAGCTAGTTTTTGGTTTTGTTTTTTTTTTTTTAAGGAATATATTATATTGGAGATGTTCTCAAGCCTGTTGGATTCAATACACAAGAACTGTATTCGGCAAGCTAGTTTTTTGGTTTTTTTTTTTTAGGAATATATTATATTGGAGATGTTTTCAAAGACAAGTATTTCTTCAGAGAGTTTAGCTACTAATAATTGGACAATATCAAACTCAGCCACTACGCCTGCACCAGAACACCTGAATTTACTCAGTTTTTAAGTATTCAACCTCATGGAAAGAATAGGATCACAACAGTGATTGCCAAGGATAGCCAAAGTTACGGATGGCAATACATAAATACAGTTCACATTCTGCAGTAAGACACCAGTAACTAAAACCTGGGCAACATCTGTGCTGTGGCTGTGGCCCAGAAAGGAAAGGCTTCTCTCTCCATGTACAGCAGCACCCAGTCTCACAAGTGTTTTACTATGGAGGCTGGGGACTTCTCCCCTGGTCTGCTAGACATTGGCCATTGCTGAAAGCAGGACAGTAAATCTGACAGACCAATGGTCTGATCCAGTATATGAAACTATGCAACTGTGATCCTGGTTACCATGTGGTGGTATCTCATACTCAGAAAACATTAACATGCAGCTAACTTCAAAACTTGCCCGATGATTAGCCTGAAATGTCTGGTAATACATTCATCCTTGCTTGTGTTTCTCCGATGCACTGAAAATGCATTTCCACTTCTCATTTCCTTAGAGATAAAAATCAATTTTTATTATTTGTAAGCTTGTCTTGATGTCATTGCCTCCACCAATCATTTTCTCCACCCATCCCCCTTTGTGATATATTGTAGAGAGCCCAAGTCACAAATCTGTAGGTTGTATAATTTCTTGGACTAGGCACGTCTAAACGCCAGAGTGGGGAAGCAGGGCTCAGCCAGCAGACTCACCTGTCTCAGAGTTGCTAGATTCTTCTTCGGAAGTCAGCAGGCTTTTTATTAACTAATATAACTCTCCTATTTACAAGGTTTAATACTGATGGCAAGGAACTGGGGTATGAGAAGTATATAGTTAGCAAAATTTCAGGTTAGAAAGCACAATTGAAGAAAACAATTGCTAAAGGCACTCTATTTGCTGTCATTGTGCTTCTAGTTTGTAAAAAGGCTCTTTTGTATAAAGGCAGTCTTAGCTGTAGAGCAGCAAGCTTTTAATCTTACTCTATCTTGCAGTAGCTAATACTCAATTCAGTGCTAAGCCTTGTTTTGTTTTTTTTTAAAAAAAAAAAAAAAAAAAAAAGAGACCACATTGTGCAAGCAATTTTCTTTAACCAACGAAATGCCCAGAGCAGTGTAAAATTCAAGTTATGTAATCACAGGAGAGCAAGAACAGCTAAATCATTCCAGGAGATATGCTTAGCCAAATGAGAAACATTGTCTCTAATCATCTTTTCTCAAGAACGCCTGGATACTACTTGTGACCAAAATTGTTTAAATCACCATTTCAGAATTCCAGCTCATTCCAAGAAAATAGGCAAGTAATCTTTTTTAGAAAAGTTACCATTGAAAAGATGGGGGTTTTTTTAAAAAAATGAAGCAGTTGTAGAACACAAGTAATAATAATTATTATAATAATAAAAAGAAGCAATGTTTCCATCTAGGAAAAAACTCTTAACTCAAGCAACTTTACACAGAACTGTCCTTCAGAATTACCACCCTTCCATTGCAGAGCAAATGGAGCACAGACCTGACAAGGTCCATGAAATGTCTCGAATTTGCCTTTTTTGCTCATGCTGTTTTATAAATGCCCCAAACCACTTAAAACTGCTGTCAACTGACTCTCATAAGTACACAGGGTCAACGTATTGCTGCAGTCTTTTTTGATCATCCTGGAAAATTCGTGGGGCTTCTCTGTGTGTGTGTGTTGGGGAGAGGGGTCCTAAAAAATGTGCTCATTTCTTATTTTCTTTTAGCTCTCCTGAGCAAGTTTTGGCCCTGATAATATCTGTTTCCACTAGTGTTGTTCATAATCACATGCTCAAGACGTACTGCATTCCCATAGAATACAACAGAAAATCCTAAACCCTTTTGGAGGTCACTGCCCTCCGAAATGAGCCTCCATGGGCACCAACGTCCCTCCAGTTCTGGGGTTGGCTGCAGACAAACTGCGGTGCTTGAA